AGAGAAAAAAGAAAGCATGAAATGATAAGAGAGAAAAAAAAACTTTTTCTTTCCGAATTCTTGCTCGTTTTTTCGAGTTCAACTTTTTCTTTTTTTCTTTTTCTAAACTTTTCTCCTCCTTTTTTTTTTCCACACACTTAAATTTATTACATTTAAAAAGAAGTTGTACCAATAGCGCCACAAGAAAAAAAAAAACAACAATAACAAAAACAACGATCAATACTTAATATTCATTCCATCCATCGTCTCTTCTCACTTTCATTCAATTCTCTTCCAAATTGTCACACACTTTCCTTTTTTTTTCTTCTTTGTAAAATTTTTTAAACAATTTTAAATCTCCAAAAAAAAAAAAAAAAAGAAAATGAAAATTTTTTAATGTATATATAGAAAAAATTCAGGGAAATTTTAAAAAAAAACAGATTTTTTTTCCACCTTTCATAAAATGACTCATAAATTTTTACTAATTAATTTAATAAATTAATCTTAAATATGCATTGCATATGCAAATGTAATATTTAATAATCGAATAATTTTAGCAATATTTAATAATCGAATAATTTTAGCAATATTTAATAATCGAATAATTTTAGCAATATTTAATAATCGAATAATTTTAGCAATATTTAATATTTTAATAATTTTAGCAATATTTAGTAATCGAATAATTCTAGCAATATTTAATAATTTAGTAACTCTAACATTTTTTAATAACTTGATAATTCTAGCAATTCTTTTAAAACCTAAAATCTAAAATACGAATTTAAATTATTAACAAAGATGCATAAATGATTGTTAATTATTTGAAAATTTTAAATGAAAGCTATTTAAAACATTCCTAAAATTTCCTGAATAAATTTTACGATTATAAGTTATTTCTTTTTTGTAATTTTTGTTTTTTTCTTTTTAAGTGATCGGAAAATTAAAATTCTATGAAATAACTGTTCATGTATTCATTTAGCGTTTATCATCATTTCATCATGTTGTTATTTTTATTCTCAATCTTTTGGATTTTTTTTTTTTTTCATTATTCCTGTCATCAGCTAATGTCACATTTAATCTAAATTCATAATTTGTTGTTAATTCAATAGCCGTAATTATTAAGCAAAAAAAAGTTTTTAAATTAATTCATTAAATTAAAAGTGATTTGCCGTAATTAATTAAAAATAATTTATTCAATTATTAATTTAGAAATAATAATTATATAACTGTCCACTACAATTATCTTGTTTGATTTTTATTCACCATTCATTTGTTTGTTGCTATTTCATTATTTCTATTTCAATTATTGTATTTGTAAATTTATTCGTATTTGTATTTATTGAAATTTACATATATCAATTCTTGTAAATATTTAACTTATTTATATATTTCATATTCAATTACAAAAAATAATTTGCATGTTATTAAATTTAAATGGTCATTAAAACTGAACTATCACATCATTCCAGTTTTTTTTTCTTTTTTAATTTTTATATGAATTGGATTTTTCTTTTCTTTTTTCAGTAACCATTAATTAAAATCGATTAATTAAAATATAAACATATTTTTTATACTTTAAAACATGATAATTTTAAAAAAAAAAAAGTTGAATAATAATTATTTATTCAATTGCCTAACAAAATTATTTGCTTACTATAAATGTATCCTTTCAGTTTATGTAATAAATTTTTGAGGATGAGATGATCAATTGTATGCAAAAATTTGTCACAACCTTTATTTTCTTTTACTCTTAAATTATTACAACCTAACAAAATTTAATAACCTAAAATGGTGACAGTGAAATTTTCATGTTTGTAAATTTTGTCGCAGTATTTTTTTTTTCCAATCTTAAATATGGGACAATTTTATAGGGAGTGTTAAATAAGTCATTTTCCTTGGATGGCTAAACCAATGACTAATGAGTTCATGTTTTGTTCATTAACATACTTTTTATTTGTTCCTTCAATTGTCAACTATTTAACATATACAAAAAAAAAAAAAAGAACATATTAGAAAAAAGCTTAAAATAGCTATCGTTAGCATAGCTTGCTTATCTCTTATAAGATAAGCAAGCTTCTTTCTTTTGTGAACTATTTAACATATATAAAAAAGGAACATATTAGAGAAAGGCTTAAAACATAGCTATCGTTAGCATAGCTTGCTTATCTCTTATAAGATAAGCAAGCTTCTTCCTTTTACGTTATTTTATAAATAAACATTTATTCTCTGTATGTATGAATTTACAAACAGAGAGGAAAATTAGCTCATTAATTTGGTTTTTTTTTTTTCTTTTAAACAATTTCTTCATTTTTCAATTTTTTTCTTTTTCATATTTAACATCACAGCTGTTATTTTATTCCCTTTTCCTTTTCTTTTTTCGTTTTCTCTTTTTCTTTTCTTTTCTTTTTTTTTTTTTTAAATAGTTTAAAGTAAAAACAATATTTTGTAATTGTAATCGAAGAACCATACTGCAGTATTATTATTTTTTATCATTATCATTATCATTATCTCAATAAATACTATTTGAATATACATATATATGCAGACATATATACATGCATGACATATATATATATGCATAATATTATGTATACACACATACCCACACACACACACACATACACATACATACACATACATATACACACACATACACACTCATACACATAACACATGTATCGTGCACATATGCACTCACAAGCACATACATATATACACACAGACATACCTACATATGCACATACATACATACATATATACGTACATATATACATACATACACACATACATATGTACATACATACATACGCACATACATACATACATACATACACATACATCTGGCTTCAATTAAATTTTCAAAGTTTAAAGAATTTTTTAATTTTAAAATTTTTCAATATTATTTTTTTTGATTTAAAATTTAACAAAATTTTCAGCACTCATTTTGTTTTATTAAAAAAAACATTATGGTAATTATTAAATGCATTGAAAACAAATATTTCATTCCATTTCATTTTCTTTTTTTTTTTTTAAAATATTTCATTAAATCAAATTGAATATTTTCTCAATGATTATTTATTTTTGTGCTAAATAATTGAAAAAATAATTGGAAATTTTCACTTCAAAATAGTTGGATTATTTTTTTTTTTTGTATTT